TGCTTTTTTTTTTTTTTTAGGAAAGCCAGGGCAGTGTCATTGTCTTACGGGCTTTTTCATGGAGTTTAATAAATAAGTGTGTCTGTGGTAAACGACACAATGCCAAACTGCTTATTCTTAAGATGAGCAACTCTCTGTAAAATGATTTTTTTTATTTGGAGCAACTCTCTGTAAAATGATTTTTTTTATTTGTCATTTGGCGGCAGCGGAACGTTTCCCCTTCTTCTGCAGAGCTTATTTTTTGCTACAGTGTTTTCCCTTGCATGCTTCTTAAAGAATAAAAACAAAAATGATTGAGGATAAATTCAGAGCTTATGTCTGATTTATTAAACGTATTTCACTTTTTTTTATTTTGATGGTCCTCTCAGACATTCTGCTGACCTGAAGTGACTTTGCAACTACATGTTATCTAACAGTCATTCATTAGAGTGTTATTAGACTGTTAGGTTAGGGTTAGTAGAATAAGTTGATGTGATCTTGCAAAGTGACTTGTAGTCAGTAGACCATCAAAATAAAGTGTTAGCAGATATTAAAGGGATAGTTCACCCAAAAAATTAAATTGAGATATATTTTGAAGCATGTTGGTAACCAAGCAGTTTCTGGTCCCCATTGACTTCCATAGTATTTTATTCTATACTTCCAAATGGCTACCAGCAACTGTTTGTATTTCACTTTTTTTTATTTTGATGGTTCTCTCAGACATTCTGCTGACCTGAAGTGACTTTGCAACTACATGTTATCTAACAGTCATTCATTAGTGTTATTAGACTGTTAGGTTAGGGTTAGTAGAATAAGTTGATGTGATCTTGCAAAGTGACTTGTAGTCAGTAGACCATCAAAATAAAGTGTTAGCAGATATTAAAGGGATAGTTCACCCAAAAAATTAAATTGAGATATATTTTGAAGCATGTTGGTAACCAAGCAGTTTCTGGTCCCCATTGACTTCCATAGTATTTTATTCTATACTTCCAAATGGCTACCAGCAACTGTTTGGTTACCAACATTCTTCAATATCTTCTTTTGAAAAGTGAAGCGTCCCATACTTGGAATTTGTGCTCTGTATTTCACCCATCCAAGTGCACACACACAGCAGTGAGTAATAAACACACACACACAACACACACTGAACACACACCCAGAGCCATTTTTGCTGCAGCACTCGGGGAGCAGTGCTCAAGGGTCTCACCTCAGTCGTGATATTGAGAGTGGAAGAGAGCGCTGGTCGTTCACTCCCCCCACCTACAATCCCTGCCGGTACAGAGACTCGAACCCCCAACCTTTGGGTTACAGATCCGACTCTCTAACCATTAGGCCATGACTGGCTTTTGTCTTCAGCAGAAGAAAGTCATCAGTGCTATTTTAATATCAGTGACAAACTACTGTACACTCTAAAAAATGCTGGGTTAAATACAACCCAGTGCTGGGTAAAATAGGGACAAACCCAGCAATTGGGTTGTTTTGACCCAGCGGTTGGGTTAAATGTTTAAATGTTGCTGGGTCAAAACAACCCAATTGCTGGGTTTGTCCCTATTTTACCCAGCACTGCGTTGTATTTAACCCAGCATTCTTTTAGAGTGCATGAATAAGAGCGAGAGATCACTGTTCAGGTGTGCTTTTGATTGATCAGCTTAGACATTAAAACAGTAAAATGTTTTTAAAACAACCTGTGCTTGTTAAGAACTTAAATCTGTGAAATGTATTTTTAATCTGTTTGTTTATATGGTGCTTTTCACTAGAATTAATCAGACTTTACAACACTGAAGGTGTGGTCACATTTACTTGTTAAGACATGTTCACACCAAGGATGAACCATAACAATAATAATAAGGACATCAGTTTAAAAATTGTTACATAAAAAAACTGGGTTGTATTTAACCCAGCATTTTTTAGAGTGTAGTTTTTGTAACATTTTGTTTAAGTTTTTGTAATTTAGTTTTGTGTTTTTGTCACTTTTTTTAGTTATATCAGATGTCTATATATATATATATTTTTTTTAAAATTCATTTTTATTTCAGTTTTAGATATTTTAGTACATCAAGTTGAATTAATATAAACTTATATATAATTTAAAAAGTTATTCCAGTTAAAGTATATTTTATTTCAAGTAATGAAAGACTTTTCATAGTTTCAGTTAACTGTAATAACCCTAAATATATAATTTATTGAAAGTTCAAAGACCTTTCTGATTTTCATTCTCTAATGGCACTGTTCCCTGAGAATAACCCAGTGCTATATGGGTGACTCTACAGAGATGTATTGTTGCACTGCTGCTAGTAATTCAGAAGAACAGAATGTTCAGAAGGGAAATCTGTGTGTTATTAGGTGTAACATTGGAACAGGTTGGATGTGAGATGGGTGTTGTTGGGATTAGCCCTCGCTCTCTGCGTCAGAGCAGCAGTTACATCATTCAAGGACAGCCTGTAACAAGTGTGCAGGTGTGAGCAAACCCTGATTAGCTTATACAGGCCCTACACTACACAAAAATCAATGAAATTTGTCATCACATAAGAATCCTACTGCAGCTATATTATATTCATATCACTAAACCACATACATAATTTGAAAACATTTACACCAAATTCAATTAATTAATTCATTCATTATTTTTTGTTGTTGTTGAGCTAAACAGTGCTTGGAAATAGCTTGTGGCCTGATTACTTGATTACAAACAAACAAACTATATTAGTTTAACATGATTTGATATGATTTTTAAAATAGTTTTAGTTGTAGTTTTAGTTTAAATGAGAAATGTTGCAAGTAGCTGAAATAAAAAGTTGTATTTTATCTATATTTTATTTCAAGTGACGAAGTTATGGTTTTAGATTTACTTACTATCCTGAAACAAACTAAAAAAGATATTACAATTGCTCATATATGTTTTATGCTCAACCTGTTTGCCGTTTTAAAATACAAAAAAAACGTTGGTACTTTTTTGAAGTAAAATTGAAATACAACAGCAGGTAGTGATTGATTTGTATATTCATAAGTTGATCATCCAACAGATAAGTGTGGGAAAATTAAAACAGCACAAGCATATAAATTAAAGCATTAAAACATTTTTTTAAAAATGAAGACAATTTAGTTTTCGGTCTCTATTTGTAATTACATGATTTAAATAAAAAAAATAATCAGTTTCAGAATTTTAACCCTTTAAATGCCATTTTGTTTGTATAATGCCACTGTTTTTAAAAAAAAAATACTATTATTTTCCATTTACAAAATGGGAAACAGATTTTTTTTTTTTTATATTATAGTCTTGGATAAGTCACAGATTATTTACAGATGTATTTTGATGCATTATTTTCACTGCATTTAGCATATGGATTTTTTTTTTTTTTTGTCAGGTTAAAGGTAGGGTATGTAATTTTTCAAAAACACTTTAGAAAACTGATTCGGGCCAAATAGCAAACCAGAAATCACTTACTCTGCCTTTAATTAGTACCTGGATTAAATATTGCAGTTTTAATTGGTTTCAATGGGGACATTTTTGGCCTTAAGGTCCCGACTCCCGAGTCTATTTTTTTTATCTAGTGTAAAATAGATATATGAAAGGAAATTAGGGTGAAATATTGAAATTCCAATAAAAATACACATTTTGGCGAAAATGTATGCTGTTTGCATTAACACAGCCAAGAAAAGAAGTAAAATCCTAAGGATGAACAAGGGTTAACTATCACTAACAACATCAGTATCATCAAGTACAATAAAAAGCTGAATGAACAGGATATATATATATATATATATATATATATATACACACACACACACATCACATAATTATATCAAAAGGATGTACTGGGCATTGAAGGTGAAACAGACCCATCGCCCCGCATGTCAGCGCCTGAATTCAGTTGCAAATAAGATAACGTATATTTCTAATGATAACTAATCAGACAGTCACACACTGCACTGTAACGGTGTAGATTTATTACACTCGCACAGCACATGTAAATAGTTTTATAATAAAAAAAAGAAAGAAAACAGTGACATTTAGTTTAGACATTGTTTTGAGACATTAACTGCATTCCTCAGATTTCACATACACCACAAACGAAATATTTAACATGAATGAAATGAAACAAAACAGGTTCTGCAGTTTTGTAAGAGATGGCCTAGAGACAGCAAACCATGGGATCTAAACCCTAGCCTGACTTTCAACCATATTTAAAATAAAAACATCATACAAAACAACAACTTGTATATGCAACACATACACAGGATTGTTCTACATGCCAAAAACAGCTGGTGTCCGGTCATTTATATTACATCTTTTTCACACTCAATGGACATACAGTACTTTGAAGGTTTGGGAGAAACAAATATAA